GGGGGGGGAGGGTTTGGGGTGGGGGGGGTGGCGGCGGCTCTGGGGGGCCTGAGCCGTGGTGCTTTGGTGCAACTCCCTACTGAATCCCAGACGATCGGTCAGTGGTCAGCTCTCAGACTAATATCTCCCGTGCACTGTGGGCCCGACAGCCCTGTTCTCGTTCCTCTCTGTGTGTCGTCGTCCCCCCCCTCCTCCTCACACACACACGTTGCCCCCCCCCCCCCCCCCCCCGCCGGGGCGTGTTGGTCACGCGCTCGGACCAGACGCAGGGCAGCGGAACGCGTCCTAACTGGCCGGTCAGCGATGACCGGTGTGAGTCTGCCGAGGCCACTTTTTAAAGCCCTTCTTAAAACTGTCCAAGTTTCTGTGTTTAAAGAATTAAATTTTGTTGTATTCGCCACATGGGTTTAATGTACATCCGGGTTTTAGCCCCGGGACTCTTCTGGCCCATGAGAGAATGTTAGGGGTTAATGTACAGTAGTTTTAATTGTTAAAAAGGTACAGAATCTTTTTCAGATGGATTTGCTCATGTTTTTTTTTTTTTTTCTAGCCAATTGTATCCCCTCCCCCAATTCCTTTTTAAAGGTTTGAAAACAGGGTTTCCTGAGGCATGCTAGTCAGTGACCTCTGACCTTTTTTTGTGATTAGAGGGGGGATGCTAAGAGAGTCACGCCAGTAAGGGGCGACGACTCTCCTTAAGCCTCCGCTCTCCTATTTTTTGCTTTAATTCTCTTTGTATGCAGAACCAAAATGTAAAACGTCAGCAAACCTAGGTTTCAGGCCTAACCTGTGTGTATATACCCTGGATACAATCAACAGGATCTTGTTTTCAAAAGCAAAATGACTTAATTGAAGATAAGTGTAGTTTCTAAAGAACATGTATCATTATTTGTAAGTTAACCATCTGCATGTCTTCAAGCCTCCTGGCATTAGCTAATAATTTTTAAGGTGAAGAAAAAAAAAAAGGAAAAAAAACTTTTTACATGTTTTATTTTTTACAATTTATTTGCTTACCTAAATATCCCAGACAATAATGTGACCCTTTTTATTACTTCAAATTTATTTTTATTTTCCATTTTTGTTATTTTCTTTATTTCCTGTGTACTACATATAGGCAATTTATAACAAAATGAGAAAAATTATTGAAGAAATTTTAAAATTGAAATATATTTTATTTGAAAGTTTATGGACCTTTTAACCGTGAGCCGGAGAAATTGTATAATCGTATAATTTGAGCTGACTTGACGGTTATGAGAAATGTATCAAGAGTTTTATTTTTTATGCTTCTTTAATAAAGTCTTGTTTTTGGTTTCATTTTTTTACGGTAAAAAAATAAGAGCTTGTGTCCAGTGTCTTTTATCCGTGGGATCAGGGCGCAGCGCCGTGTGGGGGCAGCAGAGACCCGGTCAGGCCGCCGGACCCGGTCAGGCCGCCGGCGTCGAATCCTCCAGGGCTGCAGACCATTCCAGATTTAGAGTTCAGCCACACACTCATCTTTTCACAACACAAAGCGGGTTAGAGCTCAAACTGATGAAAAAATCAATAGATTTTTTTTAAAAAGCTACGTTTTTTCCCCTCCCACGTCATCTCACATGTCTCAGTCTAAGGAAACGATAAATAAAATCCTAACAAAAAGCATCAGCTTTCTGCCATTCGTTCAGAAAGAAAGCTGCTATTCAAGGTTTCACAAAATGCCTGAAATTTCCTTCTTTTTAAACTCGGCCCGTCTTGCAGCTTGTAATGAAAACACGTCTGGCCCTCCCCCCCTTCAGAGGTCACAGAGAACAGACTGAGGTGGGTTCTGCTTCCAGATGAAGGTTTGTGTCGGTTACTCCCTGCTGTCTCCCTCTGAGAGCGCGCCATCTGCTGCACCGGTCGAGCTGTCTGACCTTTATGGGTTGAAGCGAACATTTGCCCAAACCCCTTCAATCATTTTATATCTGGATGCCAAAATTGAGAAGCGTTATGTAAAATAAAATGACGACACAAAAACGCATGAAGAGGTGTCGGTTGTGACACAAAAGTCCTTTTAATAGGAAGCAGATCACAATCAGGCTGCATTCCAGCTCCACTTCATCCTCATTAAAGAACAATCAACAATGATAAGAAACAAATTACAAACATCCTCAGTAGAAAATAATTCTCTCATGCGAGTTCTGTGTTCACACTACATTCATATTGGTTACAGATGACTTGTTTTATTTAAATTTATTTATTTATTTGAAAAAACAGAGACACACCGATGACTTATTAGCTTTGGAAAGTTAAAACAGGTCAAATTAAAAAGGTCAAGTAACATCGAAGAGACACGTGCTGGCACAATTAAGTTTCCCATCATGCAATTGTAGTTGATTTTCTATTCACAGGGTGGGCACCACTCGTCTCCTCGGAGTCGTGTCGGTGTGCGTGCATGCATGTGTGTCATCTTTCATGTGTCTGTTTGTGCTTGAGCAGAGTGGGTCTGTCGGTGTGTGTGTGTGTGGTCAGTGCGCGGTTAGCGGGCAGCTGACCAGCCCAGAGCCCAGCAATCCAGCATCTCTCCGTGCTTTTGCAGCAACAATCCGACATGAAAAGTTTGGTCTTGGGCTCTGGGGCTGCACACACTCCAACACATGGGAACGGTGTTAAAGGAGCACCCCACAAATTTATCTTCACACTTTTTGTAAAACAAATAAAGAGATTGAGGCTGATGAAACACATGCAGCCTTTTTTTTTTTTTTAACATTACCCACAAGGCAACATGACTTACGCTGAAGAGGAGAAGAGGATCATCTCATCCGCATACTTTTCAAGCTCTCTATCTTTTTATTCTTTTAAGCGAGCCAATGCTTAATGATCATATTCACAGCCACTAAGTGACTTCACATAAAAATATTCAAAATTTACACAGCTCTGAGGGGATCTGTGTAAAAAGCTTTCCTCGCATGCTACCTGGCAGCTAACACACACACTCTAAAGTATAAAAATCAGTGGAGTTCTCCTTTAAATGTTGCCGCAGAAAGGGCAACCAGAGAAGTTGACACAAAAACCAAGCTGGATTCGTACATTTTTTTTTTTATGACTCAAATTAAATCCAGTGGCATAAATCAAAGGCATGAGTGGGTCTCGGAACAAAAACCGTGGTCTGTCAACAACCCTTTCGATGAGAGAGAAGGCTTTGCAGAGCGTAAATAACATTCAGAGGTTTGATTTTCTTGTTTCTTTTGGTAGCTCTCAGCAGTGGTGAGGACACAAAACAGAAGACAGGTTGGTGTGGGGTGTGTGTGTGTGTGGGGGGGCCTGATGCAGCCACAGAGAACCTCCCTGCAGCGTTTAGTCACCGTGACCGACGTCCAGCTTCAGAGTCTGATTATGGCTGTGAGGGTCTGCTCACCTTATTGCAGGGAACGCTGACGGGGGGGTTTCAACCCACAGGATGAAAAGCAAAACTTCAGCCTCTTAAATGCTTGGCGGTGACTTTGATGGCTTCCTTCTTTGATAAGAGAAAATAAATAAAACAAGCAAGCAAAAATGAGCTCTTGCAAATTTGGTCCTACTAAAGGCAAACAGTTCTCCACAACACCTTCCTCCTCTCCGCTTACAACAGGAATGGGAATTTAGGAGTCCACAAATTAAATATTGTAGTGATTTACAAAAACACAACTTTCCCATTCCTTGGACCCAGATAGAGCACGCCGTACTTCTACACTATTTAATTATTATTTTTGTGTGTGTGTGTGTGTTAAACAGCGCATACGTTCTAAGTGTGTAGGTATTGCTTGAAAACTTAATAGCCCGATTTACAGGTGGAAGAATCAACCTATACACACACACACACACACGCACACGTTCACACACATGCATGTGCACTATGACGGTGCTCACAGAGGCTCTGTCCGCAGCGGACACACAAACAAACCACTATTGCCTTGGGTTGGTGGGTCATCCCAGTGACATCCCAGTCCACTGATCCTGTAGCCCTTTTCTGGAGGGAATGTGCATAACGGGGAGGGGGGGGGGGGACGTGAGATGGTGGGGTATTGCTCCGTTTGAGGCCACGTGAAAAAAATCGCCTCCACCGACAGGTCGGATCCGCGGACCCTCAGCGGAGGTTTAGGAAAAACCTCACTAGCAGGATTATGTGCACCATGCTCACACGGATCAAATACTGGAGGTACCCATCTTTTTGTGTGGGAAGAGTTGCCATGGTTACAGCAAAGAGAATCACAGTGTTCCTGGGGTCGACATGCAGGACGCTAGTACGTTACGGCACACAGTAGCAGGGGATGTTTAACCTTCGCTCTGATCGACGGTTTCTTTTGGGTTTCGGGGGGCCAAACCGGTTTCCCGGGAACCCGGCTGAACGCGCGGTGCGGTGGGAAGACTACGCCGGGCCGGAGACGAGGCTGGGGACGCACTGAGGAACGAGACGTGGGCAGGCAGGCAGGCGGGCGGGCGGACAGACGGACGGCAAAGCTAGGCAAAGGACTGCTCTCCTGAAGATGCTGAGAGGCAAAAGTGCAAAAGTGGTCACCCCCTACCCCCCCTCAATCAATCCAGGTGATTCAGTCGTTCTGCGGCACATTACATCACAACTAAATGTACAGCGTATAAAAGGAGTTATGTGTCACAGGATAGAGAGAGTTGCTAATCAGAGGGTCACCCTTACTGAGAGCGTGGAGCACAGATAGTCCAGATGAACTCAGATCCTTTCTCGACATATTCCCTCGCGTTTGCATTGATAACATTGCAGTGGGGGGTGTTGCATAATGTATGCAGATATATGTACAATAGAGCTTTTTAAAGTGTGTGCTTGTATATTGCACGGGGTCGTCTATGTGGGCGTGAGTGAGTGGTGAGTGAGTGGTGTGTGTGTGTGCGTTAACGCTACGTCTACTCCATACGTCTCTGCTGTTTTTTGTGCACGCGTGCGTGGCCCGGCGCCCTCAGCTGCGGCCCTCTTCGGCCGAGCGCTGGTCCGACTTGAGCTTGACGAACTCTTTGGCCACGTCGTCGTTGTTGCGCTGGGAGAGGATCCGCAGCACGGTCAGGCCCGTCTCGTCCATGTGCACGCGGCGGCCCAGCGGCAGCCAGCAGGTGACGCTGCCTTTGCTGGCTATGTCCTTCACCTGCAGCACGGCCATGCCCACGGTGCGGTCCTCCCGGGCAAAGCAGTAGTCCTTCACACACACCTGCAGCTCGTAGCTCTCGGGGCCCACCTCGGTCCCCAGCGAGCTGAAACGGGACAGAAATCCCACTGGTGTTCCTCGTTCACAGCAGACGGGCTATCTGAGGGGGACCGGCGGAGGAATACTCACTACTGGAAGCTCTCGAGGAACTTTGGGGACCAGCTGTTGTTCTTGGATTTTGTGGCAAATTTCCTCTTCTTGTCGCTGAGGTGGGGACCGATGATGTAGACTTCCACGAAAGGCCTGAAGCCCTGTGCTTTCCACTTCAGGTCATTAGCGGCCACGACTGGAAGGGGAAATAAAGCACATAAAGGGAGTGAAGGCAAAAAGCTGAAGGACAAGCTCCCACCATTTCTGGGTCCCTTGACCCAGTCTCAAGTCCTACCTTTGACGCTGATCTTGTGCTCTCCATTCGGCTGGGGTAAAATGTCCACGTTCATGATCACCTCCCCCACTGCGTCCACTCCAGATGCTGTCAAAGCACACTCAGCTATCAGGACTGAATTCATCAGGGACACTATTGCTGTTAAAGACTAGTTATAAGTTCAAACAAACTGTAAAAATAGCTGTTTCTTAGGGGAGAACTGCTTTCCATTAGACCATGTGTACATAACTTCTTCTCTCATCCATCATGTTTTACACATTCTGCCCACATTATGATCATTAGTTATTGCTTTGCTTGCATTCAGTCTCTCAGTTGGCTTATTTTATACTCTCTGTACCCTAAGAGAATATGCATGTGCACTATTTTCTAAACCATGAACTATCCTATCGATCAGGAGTGTTTTTGCATTTGTTTGGATGTTTTTGGCATCCCTAAGGGACGTTTACCTTTCTCTGGTGGGGTGTCCTCATTGGCTGAGTACCTGATCCCCTTTCCTCCGTGGACTGAGGGCAAGTGAAGGAAATGGGGAATAAAAGAAGGCAAATAAATTAATAAATGACTAAGACAGCTCTAAAACAATGGTCATAAGAGTGCAACTTACAGATTAATAGGACAGCATTTATGACTAAAGATGTTTTAGATCATGGGCTAAAATGTTTATAAATCATTAGCAAATCTTCTGAGAAGAGCAGGGGGCGTTTCCTGTGTCACTGCTTCTTTATAAATAAGTGTGTGTGTGTGTTGGTACTGTCTGAGGTCGTACCCTGGGCGTGCTGTGAGAGGATAAACTTCCGGATCAGCTTGTCTGTGGCCTGCGTGTACAGGGACAAGGCGTAGCGCAGCGACTGCAGATCCGGACTCTTCTCTAAGAACGTCTTCTTCAGGCCGACGCCACCGGCGTGGAAGTATTGCTGCACAGCACATGACACGCATGTTTAGCTCAGGGTGAAGCACATAGTGCCGGTATTGTGTGGTGAAAAATGCTTCTGCTGCAAAGTGTGGTCTGCTGCTGTTGTTAGGTTCACTGTAAAGCTACAGTTAATAGATGTGTCCGCATACACTGATCCAGATCCAGATATCTGTGGCATGTTGAACGCAGTCATATGAACTCAAAATACGATAGTTAAACATTGTTAGTGGCCAAAAATCATCTGGTTTACATCGGTTGCTGGGTGAAAGAAGTTATAAACATACACATCAGGACAAATCGATCATGGAAATCATATTTCGTATCTATTAAGATTATTGTATATACTGTAGACTGTGAATATGAATTAGAGCCCTCCCCCCCACTCTGCTGCTTGCTGCCCCTCACACAGCTGTGACGGTCCAAGCTGTCTGCTGCTTAGAGGAGGCCAACATAACGTCTATCACTAACAAGAGAGGATTTCTTTGTGTTTTCATTCAAGCGGGGGGGGAAATCCAGTGTTTGGTTTGTAAATCAGGAATTTCTGCATTGACAATCGCACACTGCCTCGAAATACGCCCGCTCTGCATGCACCGCAGGGCATTCGACGCATGGCGGGACACACCAAAGAAGAGTCAACCGGAGCTGACAAGGAGCAAACTGAGCCCACATCTTATGAGCACAATGACACCTTCACAGAGAAAAAGAAACCGTCCACAAACAGAGGGTCAAAGGAGCTCTGCTGGCTGACACCAATGCTCACTTTAGAAAACCGTCATCCTGACAACCAGCCCAGAAAAACTTACGCCCAGACAAACCAACCTTACAGAATTGATTTCAAAAGAACACAATGGGCGTGTTCATTAAACAAAAATAAATACAAGGTAAAATTTAGAACAGAAAACAAGTAGCACGGTTATTACCTTAATAGTATCCAGGGCAAGCTCTATGACTGCACACTGTTTAGGAGTCAGAGCCTTGGCCTCCTCTCGGCCCATGTGCTCCTGCAGGACAGATCATACAAAGGTGTCAGTCTTTACCTCAGCTGAAACCTGTGTTATGGTGTAATAACACTCCACTGGCATTTCGTTGTTGCTGCTGTTTTCATCACCTTGAGCTTGGAAAGCTGGCCCAGCTCCTTAGCTGCATTGAAGATCATCTGAGTGCCCTGTCACAGAGAAACAAACAAGTGAGCGGCGGGTGAAGAGAAACAAGGAGGTGTTTGAGAGATGCGTGTGAAGAAGATTTCCAAAGGGAGAGGTGGGGGACGGGGGGAAAAGAGGAGGGGTAAACATTTAATACATTCATGAGCCGATTTGAGGGAAGAGAGCTTTGCAGAGGAAACAAGCTTTGTCTTAGGAGGAGTTTTCAAGGAAGGGAAGGACCAAGGTTAAAGTGCTTTAGTGGTGTCCAGTCACACAGAGTTGCAGCGCTGCCTCTGGTGCACTGTGTGGCCATTCTAACCAGGCTTTGAAGCACTGTTTCCATGGAGGAGGAAGAGTGACCAAGGCTACAGAGGGTGATGTTAGGGTCCCTGTTTCTAATACAGTGCTTCTTCATGCTTTGAATGGCTACACACACACATACTTACAATAACCTGTGATGGGAGGAAAAAAGAGCAGGGATGGGGAGATGGCAGTACAGATGGGTTAATGTTCACTCGAATATTTACACAGCAATGAAAACCCAAAAGCAACAAAAAGGTGAAATAAGTGAAGGGACAAGTATTTAACGACATACCGTCTGGTCTGTGAGTGTCGGAAGCACAATTGTCTTTTCCATTGTGTTCATCACCAGTTTCCACAGTTCCTTCAGCACTCTTTTCAGGACTGTCTTCTCACAGATTTTAGCAAACAGAGACAAGCTGTAACAAGAAACACACAATGTCTTATCGAATGTTAATCTCACTTACAGCATTGCCCACAATAAACGTGAGATTCTGTGTAAAATGAGGACAGGAAACTATGGGACAGAGAATACAACAGAACAAATCAAATAGTTCAAACAAAATCTTAGTGTGCAGGCAACTGCTGTTATCTCTGGAGAAGTGGAATAGCCTGGAATAGCCTGCCATCCAGTTGACATCTTTTTTTAACTGAAAGTCTTGCTTATTTCAACACAACAATGCCAAACTACTTATATATATGTATATATATGTACAATATGTATGCATGACTTAAGTAAAAGTGCTCCTTTGCAATAGTGACCAGTCTGTGGTTCACCCTTGTCAGCCAGTGAAAACATTATAGGCATGGCGCCCTAAAGTTCAGATAAGATAAAAATGTCAGATTTTGGAGCAGAGATGTCAAAACACATTTATATCTGGATATGTTTCAAAGTTTACCTAATCAAGAGATCTTTTTAGTAGTCATGTCTTAAGCATATGGGCTAATTCATGAAATTCATTGAAAATGGCCACACTCACTTGCTGTCCAGGAAGTCCATGATAGGCTGCAAAACGTTGTCGGCCTCCTGCACAACGCTGCCGTTGGCAGGCACAGTTTGACCTTTCACCTGGGCTAGGATGTCCCCCATTTGCCTGACATTATCCTCAATCTGGGGTTGGAAACTGTAAAAGTGCACAAGTAATAGAAAAAAAGAGATCATCAGAAAAGAATTTTAAATCAGCAGGAAAAACTGCCTGTGGCTGTTTGCAGAGAGATCAGACAGAAACGCCCACCTGACAGCGAAAATGCGGCTGAGGTCGTCCATGACATTGTTCAGTTTGTTCTGGAGCTCTTTCAAGAAGTCGCTGGCCTCCACATTGAGCTGCGAGATAAATGTGATGAGTACAGCACATGTGTCACAGAGATATCAAAGAGAAACATAAAATAGACTGGAAACTCACATCTTTGCCTCCCATGGCCTCAAACATCTTCTCCAGCTGAACTCTGAGCTGCTGGATGTTATTTATAATGATACAGGGCTGAGAGGGGAGAGAGGAAGCAAATTACACACATAGAAATGGTCTTTTTCACACTGTCTCATTTCCATCATTTCTAATAAAAAAATTTTTTATCACACGATGTCTAGTCCCGTTTTTTGTGTATTTTGTAAGAAGTACAGTAACTACTGATCCACTGGGGGGTGCTGGTCTGTGAATGTGAGCTACCTATTTTAGTACAAGCCCTCACCACTTTCAGCTAATTACACAGTCCTAAATTCAACATGAGGGCTCCAACCAGGGCTAAGCCATTACACTGTAAAGTATTTTATTGTGTTGAAGTTAAATCAAATTGACCTTAAGCACAATAAACATCATAATATACAGCTTAAAGTACACCAGTTCCCATCAGTAAACTTGTTCTGTCAGAACTCCATTACAGGCTCTTTGGAGCAGAAAATATTTCAGTCACCTACCACTTTCTCTTTCTTGACGTGATTTGGAAAGTCCTTGGCTATGATGTCAGCGTACGACAGCAGGACGTTGCCGATGGTCTACAAGAAAAAAAAGGTGTTACATTAGAATGAGCTCTGAGACGAAGTCACTGTGAGAGTGCGAGGAGGTGAAACTGACCTTGGCAAATCTCTTCATGTAGTTGCCAACAATCTGAGGGTCGGGACACTCCAACTTGCGGATGATTTCAAAGCTCTGATTGAGCTGAGAGAACACGTCCACCACAGAGCAGGAGAACAAAGCGTGCTCTGACGTGACTTGGAACTGGAGGTTAAAAAGAGGGACCAGAGGGAAACATTTAGAAAGGTGCTATGGGGTGCTGGTGTGATGTGGCACTGAAAGCGTTGTGTTAGATTCTATGAAGAGCCACAACCCGATGAAGGGAACAACAGAGATAGGCCATGGGCAGCAGAATGAAGCTTGTAAGGTGGGTCCTTTTGAAGGCTTTGGATTGGAGGGATGGAGGTAATCAGCGGGATGTGATGGGAAGAAGAGCCCTCATTAGCAGCCCGGCCATTAGCTCAGAGTTGAATTGGTGTTACGGTATGTGATGAAGACAGGGGACCACCATTCCGCTGACATGGGAACGCAGAAGCTGCCTCGGGCGACACTAATTGGACCCGAAGGAACACTGACATATGAGCTGGGAGAGTCTTCAGCTGCTTCGTATCGACTTTCCTGCCGTGTGGGTCCGTAGGTGTGAGTGAGACAGCAAGTGTGAAACAGCATGGTACGTGAGTATGTGTTTACATCGACTTGTGCAGTAGCATCTGCTCTGTTCTACAGTGACGTTTTTTTTCTTTATTGATTGCCTTGAGACCTTCAACCTGCTCTCTACAGCTTGGAATGTGCTGAGTCGCAGAGATTGATTAGCATAAAGAATTGCGTGAGAATGAGGGTCTACAGGTTGGAGATCACATCTTAACTTTTCAGCAGAATTTAACAGAGAAATTATAATTATATATATGATATAGACTTACAATACAGTGGTTTCTTTTTTACCCCACAAAGATTTTGCCAAACAATTTTTTAAATGCTTTTTGTTCCAATTATGGTCATAGAATTGTTGACACAACACTTCCTATACCCCAGTCTTACTTAAGAGATGTAGGAAACATATGAAACCATCGTCAGGCAGAAACAACAGAAAACATCATATTAACCTGACAATATCAAACAGAGATGACAGATAAAAACAGATACCCCATCTTTCTTGTCCCTCTCCAGGGCTCCGTGAAGAAAATCTCTGGACACTTCCTCATTCTCATCCAACCACATGATGACAAATGGCTCAAACCAGCTGAAAACAACAGAAAAGATGATAGGGCAAGATAAATCCTTGTGCCACATGGATTAGAAGAGGTGTGCAGCTGTATGGGAAACACTTACGCCGGATATTCAGGTACGTGCTTCTGGAAAGTGGTCAGTTCCTTGCAGTACTCATTATAGAGCCACTTCACTTTAAAGTGCAAATTCATATAGTCCGCACTCTTACACAGCCGGTTCTTCTCATGCTCTGAATGTCAGAGACAGACAGCATAAGTCGAGCCTCAATCTGAAACCCCCCATTTCTCCACATAAACATAGCACAAACATTTCCCCCTCTGATCTCACAGTCCCAGCAACACACATAAAACTTACCCTCCATGGCGTACTTCATATCTTGAGCAAACATGTTCCACATGACTTCCGCACTGATTTTACCCACGTTGAGTTCTTGGGGAAACCTGTGAGAGACAACAGAGCATCCCAGCTTAAATCTGGGCTCAAAATAAAGTAATGCTACTGTGTTATTTACCAGGGTTAAAGGTTTTTTTTATTTTATTTGTCCAACAGCACTTCCTCTACTTGTTCTAGCACCCACAGGAATAAAAATACTTTTGAGAGAAAACTAAAATTGGCAAGAGGCTAATATCCTCATTGTTCCCCACAACGAAACCCATGGGCCCAATTAAATTTATTATCAGAAATATTTAATTTAATACTTATAAATGCCCCCCTTTCCAAGTCTAGTAAAACAAAATAATAATAACAATCTAACTCCAAGTATAATTCATCTTTACCTTCCAATTTAAAAGGTCACTTAGTAGCCCTGTTGCTATGCTCTGCCCTCCAGACCTCCCATAAAGCTGTTGCTTATCAGGCCTAATGCGACTCCTATAAATTATCTATATATCAAATATCCAGTGAATTGGAGCAATGCTTGGAGCACATACTCACTGGTTAAGGCAAGGGGTGTATGAGTTTTTATCCTCCTCTATGATGGAAACAATGAGGGTGATGAGTTTAGACCAGAAATCCAGGTTTTTGATGCTGGGACCCTGCTCATCAGGAGGGACCGCTTTTGACTAGAAAAAGAGATGCTGCATTTGTATCGGAGAAGCTGCATATGCTGTACTGACACCATCTGCACACATACATATTTGTGTGCATGTTAACTCACAGGGTCTGTCTGATATTCCCTGTTGTAGAGATCGTGGCAGTTATTGAAAATGTACTCATAGGTGGAGTTAAGACAGGCTTTCACACAGTCCTTCACCACCTGACTCGCCCTGGGGGGACTCTGCAGCTCCTGGACCTGGAAACAGACAGCACACAGCATACGGCTGAATATAAAACGCTTTAAAGTGTTTTTCTGGCACACAGTGTCTCAGCAGGAGGTTTTCTCAGCGGAAACCAGAGACTCAATGAACTGCAACATTCATACCAACAATCCCATAAACACTTCACACTCACACACACACACACTCACACAGACACAGCATCATGCGAATGCTAATGACTTTGGTCAGAGGAGTATATTTGTGGTAGTTTGTTCTTCAGGTTACAGAAAAAAAACAGAGAACTTTAACAAGTTTAGTTTGGATAAAAGAGAAGATTTTGTTTAAGAAAAAGGACAGAAATTAATCCTTTTGATATTCATTCTTACCTTCATCCTGAAGAAAGTGATGCTGGTCAGCAGGTCAACAGTAGACTTGAGGTCTTGCAGTCTTTCTGGACTGCTGGCGGGAAAGTTGTTCTAAAAAACACACAGAAATAAACACATTAAAACGTACCCATAACATCATAGTCCTAAACCACATGACGATAAAAGTAAATGAAGCACACCAGGAGAACCACAATTAACAGCACTCATGAGCCTATTTAAGCAGGATGTAAACAGGAATGAGCAGTAATTACCCGATACATTGACAGGTCAATCCTCAGGGAGTTGTGCAGCTGGTCTAGTAGCTTGACAAACCTCTCCTTCTACACAGAAAAGAACATAAAGACAGAGTAAGACAGTAAAAACACACCAGAGACGACAAGATTATCTGCCTGACCCACTGTGAGTCTGATGGTGATCGAATTATAGACAAAGTCATAAAGTAAGAATAAGAGCTCAACCTAATGTGTACAGTCCCAGAAGGACCAGGCTGGTCATTTCTGAGAACTTTTCAAGTGCTACATTATCTGCTGAAGTATAGCCATTTTTAACCATCTCATAATTCCCCACATCAAGAACTCACGCCAAAGTTTGAGGCAGCAAATCTGTCCGAGGCAGAAACATTGTTGGAGGATTGGGTGGTGTGGGCATAGTAAGCATTAATGTTGGCAAGCAGGGTGCTCATCACAGCTGGCACTCCTGGACACATGTACTTCGATGACAAGCAGGCAAAATGGCTGTTGGATTAAACAGGGAATAAGAAAACTGAATTAGGTTTGCACCTATTTAACCCTTCTGTATATGAATGGTCAAAGTGTCTAACAGCTGGATTCAAGAAGCCATTTGAGAGCAAGGGGAAAAACAATAATGCCTTTTACGCAGAATAATTTGACAATAATTATGACAATCTAGGTGTATTATGAGGTACTAACGTCATGGCTTGGTAAATGGACTCCACTCCATATCTCATGGCAAATTCATCAACGATTTCCTGAGCTGTCTCCTCAAAGTAAACCTTCCAGGCATCATCTCCTTTAGCATCAGGAATCTTTACGACACCGCTGTTCTGCTCCTCAGTGGTATACTGGAACAGATGCTACACACAGACAGGCCTTTGCATATTAGTGTCTTAACATACATACATAGATTTTCAGATAATTGAAGAACATCTGAATTAAAAAGGCAGGCATATGTATCAGTTCAAGAAAACATCTGTATGTAGACCGACTTAAATGCTTTAGTCTCATACAAGCTTTGTCCATTTTCTAAATGATTCTGAATTAATTGTATAGTTCAAATGACATAAGAAACCCAATTTTGGCCACTACTTTTAGTACAAAAGCAACATTTTTAAATCTGTAAAGGCAGAGGTGGATTTCGTTGAAGTGGAAAGTAGAACTATTTAACTCTGGTAAATGGGTTGCTCTTGCAGGTTTCAGGTTTGATTTAAAACGTAAGCAGAAATGATCATAGAAGCATTCAGACCGACCTCATGCAGACAGGTGTATTGGACATGGTATGGAGCCACCGTCTCCTCTCCCTTGATCTCCACACTTATGTGCATCCGTATAGCCCCAGAAACAGCAGATTTATCTGTTCTTTTATCTGTAACATGAATGTCAAACACACACATTTAGTTCAGTGATAGCTGCCCTTCCTGCAACAGACCTGCATCAGAGACTTCGGTTTCTTATTCTTTTGAGTCTGTGTGACTCTCAAATTCTCCCTCGTCTTCAGCCTTATCTCACAAAACTCACCCAGATTATACCAAACGTCCATCTCTCCACTGAGAGTGCGCACTTCAATGATAGTTTGACCCAAGAAGTCATCACTCTCACGTTTGAACCTCTGTTTCACGCGAGACTTGATGTCATCATCCTCGTCCCACACCCTGACTTTGATGCGGTCCGAGGAGTTGTGGCATTCACTGGAAGAGAAAGAAATAGTCGGAAAACAAACATGGAATGCAGAGAAATAAAGCGTGACAGTGCAAGGAATCATGGGAGTCTGATGAATCCTGTGGTTTTAAAAATCCAAACTAAAAAGTGGGACATATTAAATGTGAGGTTTTTAGATAAATACACTATATAACATGACAGCATTTAAAACTATTCATGGATTTCCACTGCACTCACAAGTGAAAGTTTTCCTCCCAGACAGGGTTGAGGTTGCCATAAATGGTCTTGGTTCTCTTCTTTGTCTTCCCAACTTGAACCGTTACATAAGGGTCACTGGAGCCTGTTTTGTCCTTAGCCTGGAGGCCCTGGGCACATACCACTGAGGAACAAAAAAATAGACATCTAAACAAAGGTACATTTTTTCCTTTAAAAATCTAGAATTGTATTATTTTGTACTTCGGGTACATTTACTTTTATATAATCTTTCAGCCACCTTGGACAAAAGAACGATTAAGACCTACGAAACGGTAACACAATAACTGCTTGAAAAGACAAACAATGCATGACACTGGTGAGGGATTACAAGGAAAATGACTCAACTTACCTGTGATGCTGATCTTTGCTGACCATTTGGAAGTCCCATCGAGCACGCTCTGCTTGATCTGTTTCATGTGCGTCCCGTGTGTTGTTTTGTCAAGGGCAAACACTTCCTGGATTAGCTCGAATATCTCAGGTTTATTCCTCTCTCTGATCTTCATGCGGTCCTTTAGGACCATGATAATGTTCTGGGTCCGATCCTCTGCCCCATGCTTGGAGCTCTTCTCTGCCGCTCCTTATAGGAGAGGGATTTAAAAAAGGAATGCATCAGCAAAGGTTAGTGTTAGATATATAGATGTAAAATAATCGAAGCTCAGAAGCTGATAAGATTCTTCATGTTCTCTCTAATGTGTTTATCAAAAGAGGAGCCCAGAATCAAGCCAGCATTTGATCAAATTAGAAAATCTTTGCCAGTTCTTGTCTAATTGTTAAACCCAAACCTTCCAATTACCCCACTTAGCTATTGACTTTTTTATTGAGAGGCTGTAAATAGTAGCATGCATTGGTAAACACAATGTAATTAGACTCTTTGGACACATGATATAGATTCACTATGCATCACATGGACTGCCTCTCAAATCAGAAAAGCAACTGATTGAGCAACCCCTTGTGGAGCAGAGAAGTGTGGATGCAAAGCCTGTGGGAGGAGGAGAGAAAAAGAGGCAGGGGTGTGACAGCACATTACTCAGGAGATAAATTGGAAAGGACGAGGTAGGAGAATGTGAGAGTTGATAGAGGACAAGAATAATGGGATGTCAATTGGGCAGAGGGATACAGAGAAAGAGCTAGAATAGTTTGTGTGGAGGACAGGGTGCGTGTGCACCTAAGTGAAGATAATTGTGTTTAATATGGGCATTTGTGCAAAAAAAGTAGCATGTCCTTACTCTGCAAACAGTCGGCATTAAGCAGATCCTGGCACTTTTCGTGGCATTTGACGCCACATTCTGAGCAGCGCATTCCTTGGCGTGCTATGCCCCACAGTAGACCCTCACATTCGTAGCAATATGTGGGGGTGGTGGCTGTCCACACCTCAAAGTTGTGTGGAGTAGTGGAAGAGATGGGGTAGATCAAAGCCTGCAGGGTCTTTTTATAAACGTGGCTCTTCTGCAGATGTCATAATGGAAATAACAGAAAGGTTTGATTCTGACTGTTAATGGATGTTTTAAAAAGTCCAGGAGAGATGTTGGAAAGAACAACAAGGAGGAAACCAACCAGCTCCTCGTTGCCAAGGGTAGTGGAGGCCATTGCAGAGGTAATTCCAGCTTTCCGCGAGTTCTGCACCAATGACTTGAAAGAGGCAAAACAGATAGATTTTTTGGGTTTGACTGATATATAAAGTTTTTAGTTGGTGAATTAGTTGAAGAATAAGCCAAAACTTACCATCGCCTAATAAATCCAGGCCATGGTGAAACACAGAAAAAGAGTTAAAGGAGAAAAAATCATAAAAAAGTATTGAGCCATTCATATCTTTGATAGTTGTCTGTGTTTAATCATGTTTCAGTAGAGAACTATGGTCTCAGCAAAGCCATTTGCTACAGTATTTTCTCGTTATGGTGAGTTTTATCTGTGTGGGGCAGGAGAATGCACTGTCTCAGCAGAATGTCCAAATAAAAACATTCAGAAAAAAACCTCTTTTTGTGGCGGTCCCCATAAATCTTTTTTTCAATCTCTGAACGTAAACAGTGTAGCAACAATAAGGACTGATATTCAACTTGTGTGAACACTGAATCCATTAGTGCATTACGACTAACTGTAAGCAACCACTTTCAGTAATTGGAGCACATTGACAAAAGTAAGGAGTCGGTCAAATCTGAAGAAAAATACCTTTAGAGGTTTTGTTAATATTTCTGTATGTGTTTGCATTCATTGTTTTTCTCACCAGATCTCTGACGAGGGGAATGGCTTTCCTCTTGCGAAGGTCAGGCATGCTGTCGATACTGTAGAGTGCACCTCCCATTCTGAATAAGACATAACCATTATACATTTGTCTCTGTTCTCATGACTATTTAAAGCCGGTTAAACATGCTTACCACCAAAATACTTAAATCATGTTTTCGCAAGTCAGGGACTAATGCATCTTTAATTATTGTTTCTAAAGCCAAGCCAGCCTTCACGAGGAGACTGTAATTACTCAGAATGGTTTCTCTACAAAAAGTGGTCACGACATTCCACACTGCTGAGCTAAGCTGCCTTGTTTTTATTCGACTAAGTTAGCATTTCTTCAGCCGCTCCATCTAGAAAATGACCTGCCAGTTAAGTCAGGGCAGCCCAAAGACACAAGCTGAAAAAGACTGGACAGAAGTTTCCCAAATCTAAAGGTCATTTTCAATATCAAGTAGTGGTAGCAGAATTTTCTAAATGAGCCACGGTCATTCAGACTGAATTCCATTTACTGGAGTGGTTTTGTGACATGTAAAGTGTCTGTAATTTGTGAGATGGAAAGTGAGTGATAAGTTCTCACCCTCCTTTACCAAACCACAGCGAGCTGGAGGTCTCTCCCCGAGCCTAGGAGGGAGAAGAGGAATTTTAATAGATTAAAAGAGAATTTTCATGTCTGCGCTTTCCAGCCTTTAAATACTGTATGAATGGGACTGTTCACTAGAAAGGGACAAGATTATGCAACGTTTTATCAGACTGAATAAAAACCTCTATTTTCAATTTACTGTAGATTTGCTAAAAATGTTTAATTAAGATATTCTTATGAGGAGCCAGAACTAATGGAGGAAATAAACAAACTGTTGGACAGCTCGAGCAAGATGCAACAGGCGAGATCAAACTGTTATGAAGATGAATAAATGAAGTGAAAGTGTCTTCTTAAACCCAGTAAGAATATCTAACCACATATAGCTTCTTCTTTCTCTCAAGCAACCATTCAGGGTGTACCTACCTGTCTGCATGCTCCAATGATGGCCGAGCAAAGTGCATGCGAGTGTCACTATGGCAATGACATGAAACTGGAAAGAAAACAAAGTGGGTCGGCACAAACAAACAAAAAGAAAAAATAAAGACAAGGGGAAAAGAAGCCAAATGCACAAAAACGCAACGTGACACACATCAACAAAAACATCAAAGCAAGTGATTAATTCTTTGCAGAACTGAATTCAAATGTAATGAATAAATTAAATGTGCAAGTGAAAACTGACCAAGCAAAACTGAATGTGTCCAACTAAATCAAGCAGTTTTATCAAGCAGCAGTGTGATCCTTCATCAAAACTCAAAATAAAAGGTTTGATGTCTGGGAAGCGTTTCTATTTTAAGAAAACCAAACGGTATAAATTATACAAGAAAAACACATTAAGTCTGCTTTCTGGTGACTTGCAAAAGAACCTGTCAAAATGGAACTCAGGAAGTTACTGTATGTACCCTGTCTGCTCATCAATAATGCACAACATATATATATTTCAAAGACTTGGTAGATACTTTTGGAATCTCAAACTCAGTATTTGTTTTAAATTTAATAGTGGAGCTGGATGAGGCGTACAGGTCCAGACCCTGACTAGAGTTTGGTAGGACGGTGGGGCACTAACCACAACAGGGGCTGAGATTTTCTGGTAAACCTACCTCTCGCAGCTGCTCTAAGACCTTGTTGTAGAGCCTCAGCCAGTTCTCTTTGGCTCTCACTGCTGGATCAACTGGCTCTTTGGACTCCTCTACAATTGGTGGACTAAAAGAATAAATGTTTGTGTAAATCAAATTAGGACACATATCTTGCAACTGTGACATATTGATTTTTTTCTGGTCTGTTTTAGCAGATGATTCACTTTATTGATCTCATTTCCTTTCAACCTTCACTCATACCTCTCAGGTGGCATCTCTATTTCCTTTTCTGGCGTCAGTGGTCTGCTCTCTACAAAGTCCTCTTCTTTTTGCTCCATGGGAAGCTTCTCCTCATACTGAGCAGGGGGCGTCCTGGCTTCTGTCTCCATGGTAATTTCTTCTTCTAACCACATTTCTTCCTCTGGCATGGGAGCTTCATCCTCAACTGCAGCTGGTTGTGCGGTGGAGGGGTCATTTCCGAGGGGCTGAGGTGAGGAAGAGGTTTGCTGGGACGGGGGACCCGTGGCAGTGGAGGGTGGCTGTGAGGCTGAATTTGCCATGGTAGCTGGGTGGGATGGAGGGACAGTGCTGGCTGCAGCTTGGTGTTGCTGAGATGCAGCTGAGGCTGGGGGGTGAGACTGGGCAGGCGGGGCAGTGGGAACGGATGACAGGAATGTAGAAGCCAGGCCTGTGACCGCGGCTGTTAGAGGTTTGGCCATTGAGAAGAAGGACGTGGCAGATGGGGCAGGCTGTGGCTGAGCTTGTGTTTGAGGCTGAGTTTGTTTTGGTGGTTGAGCTGTTTGTTGACCGGGTGGCTGCTGGGCTGTTGATGAAACCCCAGGAGGATGAGCTTGGTTGGAGTTGGATGTTTGAGCAGGAGGCTGCTGTTGATGTACAGAGGGGTGTTTTTCCAAAGGAGGTCTGGATCTGGTTACATCAAGAGCTGGGGGGGCGGTAGATGTTGGGGTAGGAGTAAATGGTGGCTCCATGTCCTCACTGAGGGTCCCATCTAAATTGTACAAGTCCTCATCATCATAAATCATTTCGTCATCCTCATAGAGACCCTCTTCCTCTCCCTCATAAAGTCCTCCATCGTCTCCCTCATACAGAGCAACCTCTTCTCCTCCATCTTTGCTGTAGCCGCCCTCATCGCTGTATGCCCCCTGGGTCTCATCCAGATCCCAGTCTGGAGAGCCCTTACTGTAGCTGACTGAGGAGTGGCAAGAGTGGTAGGAGTCATTCTCATCGTAAGGGTCCCTTTCTCCGTACTCAACACCATATTCCTCCTCACTCAGCTGACTGCTGCACCGACTTAGCTCTGCACTCGATGCATAGCTACCAGTGGGACTGGAAATAAGAGAAGAGGCAAAAGTTACAATGCAGCGTGAAATAAATAGCTTGCAATCCCTCTGTTAACTAGAAGGTCAAAAATGCTTATAGTGCACGGTACTGGAGCACTTTGTGGCCTGTGCCCTTAGGACAGCCCCTCTAAACACATTTTCTGCATGTCTGGGGGGCAGCCAGGAATAATGCTGATCGCTAATCAATGAAAAGTAGCAAGAAATACAAAAGTAGCAGACAGGTAGCAAGAAACAGAGCAGAACAGTTAGCGTGAGGGGCAAGAGAAAAAACAGAAAAAAGGACAGGCATACAGAAGTCTAACAAACGGGGGGAAAAAAACGTATATCTTCATTATGATGAATGGGGATATTGAAAACTGAATAGAAGCCCAGGAAGGAGGGGGGATAAAGGTAAGGGGAGATAGTGAAGACAGGAAGAGAGTGGTGAGCTGAGAGACTCCAAAGGAGGGCATGGATAGGGAGAGTGTAGAGAGCAGAGGAGATGAGATAGAGAGGAAAAGATGGTGTGAGGAGGTTGCCCTGTCCAATACACTCACACAAGCAGCTAATCTTATGTGCAGTATTGATCATTAGATTGCAAGTTGAATAATTCATAGAGCGAGAGGTGGATGGATGCATATTTTCATTTTCTCTCAGAGAAATACATCAATAAACACTGAGAAGTCTAAACTACTGCAAATAACTCTGACAGTAGAGCAGTGTTGGGTGTCTGAACAAGCCACTGACAGGTCTGCAAAAAGGGCAACGTGGAAATTTCATTGAATGTCAAAATGATTTTTTTTAGACTACTGAAATTATGTCAAGACTTGTAAGAAAGTCAAATCACAGGTATAAATGGTCAAATGTTTACTGGCTGAGTTCCATTCAGCTCTGCTAGATGTAGGGTTAGCTGACTCACTGTCACACAATCACTGACTCACTGGTATGAGAGGAAAAAAGGAGCCACTGTATATTTCCTTTGTCAGGAGAAAATTTCCTTGTACACAGGGTCAAATAATCTGTGAAAAGGATGGATGGCAAATATAATATATATAGCTTTTAACATTCGAAGTCAGTAAACAGGTGTATAACATAACATGTTTTTTATTTAGCTAAAAATCCTTTCTAGCGAATCCAGGGGATGAGGACTATCCTCTATCTACATACCTGACAGTTCTCTGATTGGGGTATTCGAGGTCTTGACTGTTTCCGGAGCGTGGATAAGACAAGCTTCTGGAGCTGCGGTGCTGGTGGCTGATGGGATATTGGTGGACAGAAGCATTGGGCTGAGATGTGCTGTAGTAAGGAGGCGGGATGCTGTTACTGGTTTCACTCCGATAGTCACTGTCTCTGTCATCCACAGCGCTGTCTGGGTCCTCATCTACAAAAGTAAGTTAAGACACTTGATAAGGATAAAACTTTTAGATTAGCTGTAGATTTATTTGAAATTGAAGCAAAAGAAAGAGAACATAATTAACCAGTCAGTATTAAACTATTGAACCCCTATTAGACCCATACAGGTCATTGAGAGTGCATTCTTATATGAATCAAATGATGAATATGATGAGCTCTTTTCCTCTCCGGCTCATCATCATAACTCTGCTCTGCTCACTGGGGGCATGCTTTACTTTCCTCTGATGTTCATAGATCAAGGATTACCATACCAGACAGTGCAGGCCAGTCAAAAGTGAAACCGGCAATCTATTAATCATTTATCATTATCCATCATTGTCTTTCTCACTCGAAAAGCCAGCTAACGAACACGCCTGCTGCCCTGCTTACTGCTCCATTTTCCTCTGTCCCATTATGTAAACACTTCAAATAGCATGACGCTTTTTTTCATGTTTCCCCGTGTCCCCACACGTCTCGTTGTTTTCATCTCCATCAGGCACTTCATTAGATCCAGATTTGTCATTAACCCCCTGCTCTTTTCTTTTTCCTCTGAGTGAACAAAGAGAAGATGAATTGCTGGAGTTGAGTGGGTGAGTGACTTATGTAAGACCATCTGCTCATCTTTAGAGGGAAAATTATAGTCTTGGAGGATTTGGAGCTTTTTCTACAAAAATATTATGTGTGCAAAACATCCATGGAGTCTTTTTGGAGAGTGACTTTTTAAAATTGCAGTAATGGAAAAGTGGTTGAAATTATCAACAAAAATAAAAATGTCATTTGTTATAGCCTGTTGATGACTATTGATACATGTGTTATATCAAGACATCTGTACCAAATAGTGTTGTTGCATTATGGTCATTATCTGGAGCAGTAAGCAATGGCTATTTCTGGAATAATCACATTATTATTCATAGTTTTTACCATGCTATGAAAAACCTTGGATTGACTGCTTTACCCCTATGAGGAGGGATAACCATGGAAAATGATGGAATTATGTATTATTTTATAAATCTGCTAAAATATTCAGCTTTAAGGGTGTTAGAGGGTGAACATTCACATAGAGCAGTTGATCAAATGTTCACATAAAATGCTAAACATAAGAGACAGTACCACTTTATTTGTACAAATAAAGTGGTACTGTAATTAAACATTCAAATTGATTCCTTCCTCCTCCAAAATATTATTTCATTACAGAGATGTGGAACCAAAACAAGTGCTATTCTTCGTGTTCAGGAGTGTGTCTGCCGCACATTCTGCACTGACACTTACTTTGTTGGTCCCCCCATAGACTCCAGTTGCCTGCAGTGAAACAGAGGGTTGTCAGTGTTGATTAAGAATTACAGTAGTGGTCAAACCTAAACAAGCATTCGTGACATTAATGCTTTGCTGTTCCCAGATGGGGTCAGCGAATGGACAGAATGAGCAGGGAGACTCCTAGTCTCTCCAGCTGTCTCAGACAGCTGGCTCAGCAAGCTATTCAGCCTGGGCCAGCAGTGAAAGCACAGAGGCACTCTGGAGGATATGGCCTCTGGACATCTGATAGCGCTATTGATCCCTTGCAATGCAGCAAGCCAGGCCTGTTTTTCTATATCATACAACCCATGTGGTGAAACACAAAATGCACCTAATGCACAATTAGAGAAATTGAATTCCATCTGAACCCCTACATCAGCGATTGGTTACTCACAGCACTGGGTTCCTGGTGCACGGAGGGGTCGTTCCTGTTCCTCCTGGTATGAGTACTGCAGGTGGGAGATGCAGCACATAAAGAGGTCAGCTGTGATTAGCAGGAATAATTTAAACTTTCTGTATGCCTACGCACAAGAGATGCAAGACACGTTGGATTTAATCAAAAACAATGTCATGCATTCTCCTAATTAATCACATTAGCTTGTTCCTAAAAAGTAGGGATGTGCCGGGGTATTAAATCAACCAAGCTGACAGCTTACATCTTGGTCCCTCATGGCGTTGAGCTGCTCCAGTTTTTTGGCCCAGTAGCGTGCCTCGTCCTCGGGGATATCTGAAAAACGGTGACGAAAAAGCCAGAAAGGAGCTTCACCTTCCAAAGAACTTCACATAAACACCCACAACACCTTCAAACAAATAACCATAAAGCAAGGACATTTGAGACTGTCATTTTCACTTAAAATTCCAGAAGCAAATCCAGATAAGTAGGTCGGGTCCACACATATAGGAAAGGCAGAGTCTGAAAATTACACCTAATCAATTTGAAAAGAAAAAGAAGATAGAAAGAAAACTCCTCCTGCTGACATGCCGCTTTTCAAACAATATATTAGAGAAGTGGGACAGGGTAATTAATTACACAGAGATAATTGGCTCTCATTTGTCATCGTTTGCTGTGAAAAACATTATGAAAGATTTATTTTCTTCATCTTCTCTTTTAACACATGGGCGTAGCTTTCTTATAGCTCCATATAATTGACTTTGTCCATCAAAATACAGAATCTGATTATTAGAGTACAAGGTTCTCACCCAGTGGCAGCTCAAAGCGTGTATCGAGCAGCACTAGGTGTAGAGTGGGATCTTTGGTGCCACAGATCTCATTATCAGTCATGATGACTTGAGAATCTAGCGTCAGCCACTCCCCCGGACCTTCCTGTGTACACAAAGTTTTTTTTTCTCACAAGCAGCCTAACAACTTGATGACAGCAAGTAAAGGCACAGTGTTGGGACAATGAACAAATAAAGGAGAGAAAACTACAGATGAGCAAAAAGGGCAAAACTACCAAGTGTGTGTGTTACTTCATTGACAGTGGTGGCAAGTTGCAAACCTCATTTGACTGTCGGATGCTGCGGAGGGGAATCCACAAGGTGCCGACCATGGTGTCCCAGATTAGCCCTTTGTTCCACACCTCAACTGTCAAGCCCAGGTCCAGGCGGTTAATTTCACTGTGCAAAGAAAGAAGATGGAAAATTCTAAATAAAGAAAAATATCTATATCAAAAAGCAGCGGCTTCACCAAAAAATGAAATGATGAAAAATAGTGCAGCCTTCTGTAAAGCTGTGGTTCTCCATCCCAGTAAATACAAAGACTGGATGGAAATTAAAAACTCAAAACTGAATATATGTGGTATTAAGAACTGTGCTGGAAGCACTTCAAACAAACTCTATCTGCAGCCGCTTCGACAGTAACATGAGGCCTAATCAATTATGAGAAAGTTTTACCTCAACAAGATGAGACTAACTATCTGATCTGTTTTTATTTGAAGGAAATTTAGTATGTGTATACAATTGCAGTCACAAGTGAATAAAGTATGAAGAGGATTAAAGTAGTTAAGTAGAAATGATCATGTTTATTTCAAACATGATTACATGGTTAATAAATAATTGAGATTATATTGATTGCTAACTGGCACGACCTGCTTGTGGTGGACTTTTTTTTTTCAATTGTTGCTCCAGTTTAGTTCCAACCACAGTTGCTGTTCCATTTATCATCTCAAAGTCTCCCAGGCTCATCCCACAGCATTTTTAGAAGGCACAACGTCTAGTCTGGGGACCGTATACTTAAACTATGTAGCTGTTAATTATAAATGGGTTCAGACTAGATCCACCTACAACAGTTTATTTTGTCATCTGTATATTTAGCACTTCATTGAAATGTTCCAATAATATTTTGGTGCTTTAACTTAAGGGGAGCATTTTTTACACACTTAAACTCCCTCTCACACACTAGATGCACGATAATTCCTTTTGTGCTTTGCAGCTACAAAAGTCTCTGACGGAGCAGACCTCAGAGAATATGACATACAGCATTTACGAGACAGCAGGACGAAGGAAAGAATGATAAAAAGAAAGTGAAGAATGAACAAGAGGAGGGAAGAGAGGCGTGTGATGAAGGCAGTGGAGGAGGTGATTGCATCGTACGCCCGGAGGGAGGAAGAAGAAACTTTAATTAAGAAATAGAGGGAGTAGATTTCCTTTCTTAGTGGTGACTCATTTAAAACAAGTATCTGTTTGATTCATGGCAGTGACTGAGGGGGCAGAGGAATTTAATGGCAGTTTGAAGGAGGACACGAGGTGCTCTCTGCAGTCCAAACATTACATAACACAGTTTCACTGATGCAACGCTTGTACAAAGCTCAACGCCTCCGAGCATCATACAAATGCACAGGACTCCGCAGTAATCCTGCCAGCTGCATCCTACATGTTCGGTGTTTCTCACCATTTATCATCCAAATGTGAGACAACACACCAAATCTACATGCCAAATACTGGGTGCCTCCTAATCCCCGTAAAAACAATAAGGTATCTGTCAATATCTATAAAAGCAGAAACAAAAGCAGACCAGTGGAAGACAGGGAAAGTCACTGCGAATTATCTACAAGGAACCACAAATGTGAAGAGAGAGAGTGCAAGAAGTGAATACGGGATGTGATAGGGTATGGATGAACCAGGGAGGGGGGAGGAGATCCTAAGCAGATGAAGATCAAGGGGCTGTGTTTAGAGGAAGTGACAGAGGAGAGGAAAGAATGGCTGGGAAGGAGCCAAAATTGAGAATGAGAGGGCTGAAGTGTCAAGGGAGAGCAGATGAAAAAGAGCATGAGATAGTTGTTGGAGGAGGAGAAGAGCTGTGTGAAACAATACGGGGATAAAGCGCACTTGGGAAAGATGAGTAGAAAAAAGGGGGATGGGGGAGGAAAGTCTATAGAAAGCAAGAGGTTTAAAAGTGGAATGGAGTGGAGAGATGGGTGGATGAAAAGAATAATGAAGAGGAAAGAGTGAAGGAGAAAGGCTGAAGGACTCACAACATGAAGTCTTGCTCCCAGCTGGGCAAGTTGCCCCGGACAGCGATGGTTGTACTCTTCACATTTTGCACCTTTAGTGTCACATAGGTGTTGAACTTTTCTGGGAGGGACAGAGAGATGGAGAACGAGATGTGTTACCATAAAAAAAATTCAGGGTTAGACAAAAAGTAGCATTCTCAAAAGTAGCATTCTCCATCTGCAATTTGGCAGCAAAACAGCAAGTCTTTGCACGTGTGCTGCCTTTTATGCACAAGCTCTCAGGTCTTACCTTGGGGTCCATCCAGCTTGGCTTTTTTCACTGTGGAAACACAGAGAGGGACATGGTGACACACAGGAACGCCATCTGTTTTCACACTTTCATGTGATCTTTTTTTACACCACCAAATCCGGAATAAAGCTTGTGATACAAAATAACAACACTGTATTAACACCTATTCAATGTCAAACTGATGGCTGTAATGTAAAAAAAAAGAAAGAAGTAAAAACAATAAATTAATTTGTAGTATACAAATATATGGAGAAACGTGGTTTCCTTTGGCCACACATTGAAATAAATCACACATTCACACACTACATGTGTGGGCTAAGAAAAATAAGAGATAAATCAATGCAGATTTAAAGTAAAAGAGCTCTATATCCTTGAAAGAGGGCATGGGGGGTGGAGGCACAACGCAGGAAGCCTTTGAAATATGAATAATATACTGTGCTTCAAAAAGATACAGACAATACAATGCCAATTCCTCACAATCAAGATAGCCAACACATTCATTATTTACAATCTAATATCGAGAGAAAATTCACTTTAGTCATTATTATTGAACACATTCAGGAAACGAGTTAAATATAGTGGAAGATTTTGGGAATATTTGCTTTGTATAGCTACTCATAGGAAAGATTTCCACTTCCATCACACAGCAGTCAGCATGCGTTTAGGACCCAGGCTCTGTCTCTGCAGTAGTCTTTTACCAGCTTTGATGTAACTCACATACATTTTTAATGGTCCACTACTCTCCACTGTGCACACACACAAAGTCTAAAGATCCACACACCAGCAGACTGCAGATGTGCACATATCACACACAGGTTTACATAATAATAAAAAAAACATACGGTAGTTCATTATGTTGTATAACCAAACCTGAGCCACATACTCACCTCCTTAGGAATGCAGTTGTCTATACAACATTCTGGTTTGCCCACATATATTCTCCCCAAGCTCATCCCAAGTCATATTGCCCTGAGTCAGCAAAGTCTATTTTAATTTCTCTTTCTCTACCCTTTTCTAGCTTTTATGTTACATGCAGAAAACCCAAAGCTGTTACATCAGTAGGCTGAGACGCACACACGTGCTTAAATGCAGAGGCTCGCTCCCCTACAGTGTACCTGCAGCAAGGATGGAAATATTAATCTCTGCTCTCAAAACTGTAAGGGGACTGGGCGTTCACACAAAAAAAATCCCCACTAAAATGTAAAAATGTAGCTCCTACACCCATCAAGCTTTTGATTATTTTATTTAATTCACTTTAACGGAGCATTGTATATTAAGAAAATACGACCAATGGAAGAAGTTATACATCAAATTCAGAGGATGTTTGCACTGTTAAAGCAGATTACATCAGAGCAGATCTTCTTATTTTTACTGTATGTCTGTACTGAACGTGATAAATATAACCTCATATGAGGAGGATCAATAAAAAAGCTATTTGATTCAGTGGTAGAAGACTGAAGCCTAACATCAGCACACCATCATAAATCTCTCTGACAGGGTGAGTGATGATGAAAATTGCAAACAGGCGCTTACAAATACTTTATCAGAAATGAATGCATGTAAGCAGAAAAGACAAGACATATTTACTGTATATATATATACAGTGTGCCCCTACAATTCATAGGCTTGTTAACTTTCTAACACAAGGCCAGTTGGCTGAAATGTAGGGTATGGGTGAGAAGCCGCGATGTGGGAAATGAGGTCAGAGCTATATCTAACCATTCCCATATGATTAAATGATTGGACAGAGATGTAACAAATCAAAAAGTGTTGGGTTTTCATAAATCAGGGCATACGGGGACCAGTCTGAAAGACTCAAACAATAAATTTTGCGCAGCTGCTCCATTCAGGAAGTACCTCTGACACAGCAGACTCTGACTTATGGGAGTAAAGCAGGCTGCCAGAAAACAGAAAGTCGACAGGGAATCAAGGAGACCCTTTCATTTCGACTCTCAGGGAATATATATGTTGGGGAGTGGCTGAACTGACTTCAGCCACCAGATGAGAAAATGCGAGACTGTTTGACTCAGAAAGACAACAGCTTACTCTGAATGATCACATAGAATCAGATATCTGCAGTGGTCCGAGACAAAGGGAGGACAAAGAAGCCGATTTTTCAGAATTCATCTGTGTCTGAATTCTGCTTCGTCTGCAGATGCACCAAAGAAATGCTGCCTATTCAAGAGGTAAAAAGCACGTTGGATGCCAGAAATAGCTCTAGTCAGGTAAGCATGAATGATGTAACCGGAAGACTGAGAGGGCTCTCTGCCAAGTCTCGTAGACTACAGCACCGACAGCTGCAGCCAGTGTTTATGAATGAATGACTTTCAGGGTCCTAATGACACTTGGGACTGACTCAGAGCAGAGACAGTCAAAGGGTGGGCCAGACGGGAAGCCGTGAGGTTGGATAGCTTCTATAAAAGACTTGATGTATAAACGTGACCATAAAAGCCCAGAATTTTTGCATTTACTCTCTCACTGCTACTATTCCTACCAAGTCAGTGTAAGTTAAAAATACAGCAGGCACACAAAGGCTAGTGCTGTTTTAATCTTAAAAGTCCTGCTAGTCAGAGGTTCAATATCCACCCCAGTCTTTGTCACATCTGACTAGCCTAGGGGCAGTTGCAATATCCTTTAACCAGGAAAATTAACTGCAGTGACAAACCGGGTGTTGTGACTATTATTCCCACCTAATCTTTCTATATGTTAAAGTCAAAGTGTCTGCAACAGAAATGTCAATTTCTGACTCATTTCCCATCAGATGAGTTCAAAAACCAAGTCAAGAACTCGTCTCAGATGAGAAAATGCATTATGTCTCAAAAATATGCAAATATCTTAAACTGGTCAGTGACTAAACGAGCTGGCACTGGTCTTCTTAATTATCATCATATGCCATTACATGATATAAGAGACCACCAAATAATGTATAAACCCAGATGGTAACGTACGTCAGAATATATAGTTGAGATGTTTTTTACAGCCATAAAAATAGTGGTAGTAGTAGTTAACTGAGTACAACTAACAAATGAACATCATTGAAGTCACCATGCCCATATGTACCCACACAAGCTTTCTTTGACATGTTTCCTATGTTTTGCTGATTCAGCCCCTAATCAATCAAAAATAAATACTATTAAGACATTCTCTTTGAGGGCCTCCTCAGCTCATCAGTTGTTTTCCCTTTGCCCTAAAAAAAGAAGCTGTGGCGTTACTACATCAGCAATCCCAGCAGATGGGTATTCGTCACACTGGGGGTTACAACAGTGACAGTCAGCATCAGGTGCTTTTTGGGGAGTGTGGTGGTCGAAAGCGGTGACGCATCGCTTTGAGGGGGAAAACGCGGAGGAGTGACGTGCACGTCCAGCCGGCTGCCAGTATTCCCTCGGTACGGCAGAGCGGCAGAGGGGAGCGGCGCGCGGTGCGGCAGCGGCACCGCGTGCGGCACCGCGCGCGGAACCGCGAGCGGCAGGGGCTTTTCCTCGTCCTCCTCCTCCTGCCCACGCAATGAACGAGCGGAGCGGATGACACACACACACCACGGCAGCTGAAACAGCATCACCGAGGAGAGAAAACAGAGGTGAACCCCCCCCCCAGCCCCCCACCCCCCGAAACTCCCACAACCCTGTCATATTTGCTGATGCGAACAGTCACGACACTACAAGCCCAGAATGTTGTCCCCAGGTGGAACTCGCAGACAGATTTTCTCTCAGGCCGGGCAGTGTATTCAACGAACGGGCTGTTAAAAGTAGCCCGCCCCCGGTGCTGCTCTGTGAAATGACTATTCAGCACAAACCCCCTCCGCTGCACACACTTTTCCGCGGAGCTGACAGCCCGCAGGCTCTGTCAGACAGCTGCCGCGGTTCCACCGCCGGCGAAAGACACTCCAGTAGCGTCCAACACAAAGAGTGACGGAGTAGCTTCCCCTTTCCTTACCTCCCACACACAGCAGGGACATCTCTACGAGCAGCTTGAGCGTCTCCGGCTGTCCTCTACTTAAGTGGCTTGTCGGCTCAGTCCTTTTGGGTTTCTTCTTTTGCGAGAAACTCCGCCGACACAACCGTTACCCCCTGCTCAGTAACGGGAATTAAAACCAACTCGGAGACGCTCGTCTCTCGCTCTGGAGGGGCTGTCGCTCTTCAGGCAGAACAGCACAGACACGAGTGGATTCCTCGCCCCCCTCTCAGCTTCCTCCTCTGCATTGCCTCAGCTCTCCGCCGCTGCTCCTCCTGCGCGCACAGCCATCTTGTTTCAGCAGCATCCAGCGCGCGCTCCGGCGCGAGGACAACTCCCCCGTGCCGCGCCGCTCTGACGTCACGGTTGATGAGTAGCAGGCGGAGAGAGCCTCGTGCCTGGAGGCGGCCTGCAAGGGAGGATGCTGAGACGGGATGGGGCTGAATTAATATCGTCCCGACTGGTGTAATGTACTCAATGAACAATATGGCGACAAGGAATTTCATTCATTGTTTCGAAGCACGATGACTAAAACTGAGGTCCTTGAGGGGTCAATTTATAAAAAATACAGTCCTGAATTTGCTTTGATAGAGTAATGGTAATAATAAATGTATTGCAGATTTGGAGACAGATTTCTTTCGGTGGGACTCGTAATTTTATAGATCGTTGATTAAATTATACACGCAAAATCCCACAATCTGATTGAAGTCTTATGTCTGTTTGTGGGTGAGGCAGTAAATATCAGCATGTCTTGGTGTCTATTTGCCAAAACGGCAAAGAAAGTGTAATAATTGATTTGAGACCAGCAATGTACTGAGAAATGAGAGATATCATGCATGCATCCCAAAAGAGCTGACTCTGTTGGAAAGAATGGCAAAGGTTGACAGGGGAAAAAAGTGAAGATAAATGACTCACAAACAAAGATGATTTGCTTGGCGAGGACATGGTGAGATTAAATGCATGAAGTGGTTCAGGGCAAAGTTCTTACAAACAGCACAGACACAAACCCATGACAGATATTTTAGAAATGAATCTCCCAAATTTATTTTAGTAAAAATGTAGAACATAAATAAAACAATTGATTAATTGATTGTTAACCGAGCTTGTGCATCAAAAGGAAAGCGATCCGTCTCAAAATACAATGATTACTGAATTTAATCCCTTCTTTTCTTTTGGAAAATGAGGGGACTAGATGATACATTTATCTTTTCTCAAGAAAGAAAGAGAAATCAAAGCAAAAAAATGACCGTCACTGAGCATCAAGGCACCTTCATAAATGTTCTGTGGACTGATCTTTGATGTAAAAAATCACCATCGTGGGAAGTATCATCTATCTATAAGTAGCCAAAGGATCTTTTTTAATCAGAAAAATCATTTTGATTTGTCTTATCACTGCTTTTCCACTTCACTCGTTTTTAAATGAGCCCAGAACAAATAAAAAAACTTTCCTGTTATTTTCTGTATATGTTTTTTCAAATGTTATAATGATCACAAACCATGATCACTGACAATAGTTTTCACACACAAATTTAATGGAGATTTCCCTGAGGGCTTAAATATCACTGCATAAGGGCTCTGTCTTTTCAGATTCTCTCTTGCATGCGCACTTTTCTAGATCATTTTAAGTTTATGGCCAAGTTCAGAAACATTGAGAAATATGTTTCACCTACTTACACCCTCACCCCACTTCCTATCCAAAATCAGTCTCAGGTGCTCCTTTAACTCTCAGTCTTTATAAAAGCTGGTTTACTTACTGTTGTTGTCCCTGGCTAAAAAATAATTGAACTGAGCATGTAGTAAATACAGTCATTTTATACGTTTCGATTTATGCTATGTTTTTATTGAAAAATAAAAATCTGTATGGGTAATGAATGATTAACTCTGTTTCACTAAAGAAAAAAGGATGTAAAGTTTGGATATTGACCCAAAGAAAAATCGTCCATAAACGTCGCAGTACACTGAATAAACGCCAGGGGGAAACGTCAAGCAGACATCACTGTCTGCACCACTGGAAATATAGAAAGAGATAAAGCGGGTTGTTTACGCCTACACCAAGTCCAAGATGGCCGCTGGAGACAACAGTGGCAGGCCTCCTTGCCTTAGTTTCTCCGGCCCGGGTCCTCTGGGAAACAGCCAGCCGAGCAACAGCGTTTTTTCCATGCCCGCGTCGAACGGGGCGGCGGTGGGCGCGGGCGGGGGGGCGCAGGGACCGGCCAGGCGCCCCAACCCGCAGCTGGGGCCTGGCGGGGGAGACGGCAACGGCGTCTCGAGCGGAGCCCAGTCGACTGCGCAGAACAGGCTGCAGCAGCCCGCTGCGGCAGCCGGAGCCATGGCCGCCCCGGCGTCCAACATGGCAGCCACCGCGGCGTCGAACGCTTCGCAGGCGACGGCCCCCGCCGCCACCCCGGCGGCCGCGTCCGTGCTGGTGTACCGGGAGCCCGTGTACAACTGGCAGGCGACGAAGAGCACCGTGAAGGAGCGGTTCGCGTTCCTGTTCAACAACGAGGTGCTCAGTGACGTTCATTTTCTGGTGGGCAAAGGAATGGGCGTTCAGAGAATACCTGCTCACAGGTGAGGTTGTTAACTTCGGCGCGAGCGCTCTGACGTCACCCCATTGATTGTGTGAGCCCGAACGAGCTGAACCCCCCCCCCCCCCCCCCCCCCCCCCCCCCCCCGCTCTTTGTTGCTGCGGTCTGTTGACATTGACAGGTTCGTTCTGGCTGTGGGGAGCGCCGTGTTTGATGCCATGTTCAACGGTGGGATGGCGACCACATCGACGGAAATCGAGCTTCCCGACGTGGAGCCAGCTGCTTTTCTGGCCCTGCTGAAGTAAGTGTCACGTAACATAATGTGGCATTCCTGCATTCCTTCAAAAGCCGTGTGGTATTTAATGGTACCGCAAGGGGGTACTGCAAGATTTCCAATCAATTACACTAAAGAAGAAGCTGCTTAATGCCTGTCATGATTTGTGCTGCATGCAGTCGAAAAAAACGGAATCCGCAAAATTTCTTCTGCAGGTTTCTGTACTCGGATGAAGTCCAGATCGGACCTGAGACTGTGATGACGACACTTTATACAGCTAAGAAGTATGCAGTTCCAGCCCTGGAGGCTCACTGTGTGGAGTTCCTCAAGAAAAACCTCAGAGCAGACAATGCTTTCATGCTGCTTACACAGGTCAGACTTTCTGATTCAGACCCTTCCCATTTTGTTTGGCTTTGTTTAACTTTTTCATGATTTTTCCAGCCAAATAATTTTTTCCTAACATGCTGCAAGTGAAAAAATTGCTCTGTCCTACAGGTTTAACCTATCAAAAATCAAACTGAAAACCTTGCTTCTGCAATTACAGATGTGCACATTTTTAGTCTGTAAACACAGGCTGAGCTGTCTAAAATCAGGCTGTTGTTTCTGTGTGTAATTGCTGTATTTATGCATTTGATTGTCCTTTGATAGTTTCAAACCAATCATTTTGGTATAATTTCTTCCAGGAAAACACTAAGACACAGAACAGTACTTAATGCATTGCCTTTTGAAAGTACCTTTGTCAGTTTTTTTTTTTACTTTGCTCCGCCCTTACCCCCCCAAAAAACCCAAACAAAGACTGTTTGTTCTATGTTTTAGGCACGACTGTTCGATGAGCCGCAGCTTGCAAGCCTCTGTTTGGAGAATATTGATAAGAACACCGGGGACGCTCTCGCTGCAGAGGGATTCACAGATATAGATTTGGGTAACCGGGTATTTTGTATATGCCTTGTATATGTTGTAATTGTTGCTCCGCGATGCGGTGAAGAACTACGGTCTGTTGGGCAGTTAATCATTCATCGTTCCCTCTGTCAGACACGCTGGTGGCCGTGTTAGAGAGGGACACCCTCGGAGTCAGGGAAGTGCGTTTGTTTGGAGCTGCCGTGCGCTGGGCGGAGGCAGAAGCTCACAGGCAGCAGCTGCAGCCCACGCCTGAGAACAAGCGGAAAGTCCTGGGAAAGGCGCTCACACTCATCCGCTTCCCTCTCATGACCATTGAGGAGTTTGCTGCAGGTGAAGTAGCGCTCAGTCGAAGAGTCGCTTCGCTGTCTTCTCCTCTTCCTCTCTTGTTCTGTTTCCTGCCGTACGCACAAACTCACAGGCTGTCATTCGGAACTCGCCCGGGGCCTTTTGGGCATCTCCTTGTCACTTCAGGTCCAGCCCAGTCGAACATTCTGACTGACAGAGAGGTGGTGAGCCTGTTCCTCCACTTCACGGTGAACCCAAAGCCTCGTGTAGACTTCATCGACCGGCCTCGCTGCTGTCTCCGCGGGAAGGAGTGCAGCATCACACGTTTCGGCCAGGTGGAGAGCCGCTGGGGCTACAGCGGGACCAGCGACCGCATACGGTGAGTAGATGAAGTTACATGGAATCGGAATATGATGGGTTGTTCTCTGTTTACAGAAAATCAGGCATGTTTAATTTCTTTATGTCATTTTTCATTTCAAGGTGGGAATTAATGTTTGTTTGAAGGGTTGGACAGTAGAGAGTATGTGTGCCTGCAGCTGAGAGCAAAAATGAAGGGAACTGACGGGAGCTGATGAGGAGATGTCAGACACACAAGAGGGTCTCCTTTAAAAAAAAAAAAAGAACCTTGCATCTTTAAATGGAAGATTAAATACACATTGCTAGTTATAGTCTGAATATAATCTATTTTGTTACAAATAAACACAAATTCTCTAACATCCTTCCATTCCTTCATCTGTTTCCTCTTTTCTTAATAGGTTCTCTGTAAACAGAAGGATATTTGTGGTTGGATTCGGACTCTATGGCTCCATACACGGACCTACAGACTACCAAGTGAACATTCAGGTATAGTCCAGGGCTCCTCCCAGTATGCGCTTGTTGAGAATGAATTCCCGTCTTGACGGAATGTGTTTGGGTGTTGTAGATAATTCACACAGACAGTAACACAGTGCTGGGACAGAATGACACGGGCTTCAGCTGCGACGGGTCAGCAAACACCTTCAGAGTCATGTTCAAAGAGCCAGTGGAGATCCTACCCAATGTCAACTACACTGCCTGTGCCACCCTTAAGGTCTGTGCCAAGTGGATGCTTCTATATATTGGAAGAATTGTGCATTTGTCAGGTGTATTCATCCTCTTCTCCTTCTTGCAGGGTCCAGACTCTCACTATGGGACTAAGGGAATGCGAAAGGTGACGCATGAGTCATCATCCTCGGGCACAAAAACCTGTTTCACCTTCTGCTACGCAGCGGGCAACAACAACGGCACTTCAGTAGAAGACGGACAGATTCCTGAGGTCATCTTCTACACATAGTCGACCCAGACAAGGCAGCAATCTTCCATCAAATGTGACAACCTGACGCCACCACAGGGCCACGCCTCAGCGGCTGTACTGGGGACTAATCTGCCAGACTTCATACGCACCCCTCCACGCGGTGCACTACTGCTGGCCAGACAGGAGGACAAACAGCTGGACAGCAATGTGGGTCTCTACAGGGGGCGAAGCCTTTCACTTTGTGTTGTAGCAATGAAACAGACTAAAAACCAGCTTTATGGGGAAGGGGCGGGGGGGGTCTCTCAGATTATTCACTCTATATCACTGCTTTGGATTGACGGCATACGGTGTGACACTGAATTCTACTTAAACTTTGTGATTCTCCCTCCTGTACTCCCCCAGCATTAGTGCAAAGGAGAGCCACAACTGTGTGAATGTACAGTTTCTCAGATTTGCCAAGACAGGATCCTCATCAGCATTTAGAGCAGAATAGAATTTCACTCGGCTCCACATTATCTCCACGTTATTTACAACTTTAATAGACTAACAGACCTCATAAGGTTTATAAAATCTTGGCAAATTTGAACCAAGCTTCATATTAATCTTAAGAAAATGAATACATTGAGCTGTTTTCCAGTTTCTACTTAACAGTACAATCTGTGATATCTCGTGTCCTTGCTTGGTAGTTGCCTATATCCAAGATACCTTGCACTTCTTTGCCTTGCATATGTTTATTTGGTTGCTCTATGGATGCACACTAACTCTTCAAATATGATTCTTTTTAGTTTTTTTTTTTTTTAAATAAGGTGTGTGGAAGAGATATCCTCAGTGGTGCAAAGTAAAAGGGTTGTATATTAAAGTGGCATTTATTAACATTATATATGTAATGACTTAAGTATTGATTAAAAAGCTAAGGAAATGCGTTGCACTGCTTGTGGTTATTTTAATTTTGTCTGTCAGCGAAAGTTAAACAGTACTGTCATGTCAAAAGTTAAGCAATGCGAAACCAAATGATTTAATAGAAATCATATCCTTATATCAGCAGACATAAAGCATGCTTTACCTAATTTGTTTTTGACTTGATATATTAAATACAAATATATGTTCATATCCATCCCAAAACTTAATGGAAACGGGCAAATATCAATCTTTAGCAGAGGCAATCTGAGCCTCTGAGTTATATCATAAGCATCCTGCTGTAACTGCCTTGGTGTTAGATGATAGATGATTGAAGACTAGAGTGAAGCATCATTTTGGGTAAATTATGTTTATACGTGAAAAAAAGTATGATAGTTATGTAAGATATTCTTTTTGCCGTCATACCTCAAGTGCATTTCTGCTGGAATCATGTTTATCTTCATGAGGTAACTTCCTGACATGCCCGCTGCTAACTCACATGGAATATATCAGTCTGACTCGGGAGCTTGGGCACTAATGCTTATGTTTGGATAAACCATTCAGAGTCCGGCGATGTTTTTCTGTCCTGGAGAAATTAAGAATAACAATTTTGCCATCGCTCTTTATATTGGCAGCATTTGAGTTTTTTCCACATGTTTGTCAGCGGTGCACAAATACTCTCAACGGAGCCATGGCCAGAGAAAAATACAGAAAAATGTAGGGGATTTTCATCATGTTTTTAATTCCTTACATCCAACGAACAAAGGGCTGATCCAGTCAGTTTGAAGTTTGTAACACTTTATTTTGAATTGCATGGTTACGTCTGGCCGTCATTCATTTAAATAAGCCTTATTGCAGCAGTATCACAGTGCACTGTACAGGCCCAGTAGAGATGTGCCCTGGCAAATAAGTGGAAGGATAAGGGGAGGATGTGAAGGACTAGAAGAAACAAGGAATAACTCCTTTGACCCAATTGCTTCCAAAAACCCTCACCCTAGGCACTTAGTGTACGATAGCTGTGAAATGAAAAAAGCATTACTGCTTCCTATCCCCTACAACTAAAGCTTTATTTCAGTTTTGGACTCAAAAGTCAAAACAATGTTTATCTTGAAGCCTGTGCAAAGGTTTTAAAGTGCCCATGGGGTGGGGTTTGGTATTTTGATTTGGTATTTTTGTTATCTGGGATCGATGTTTACAATTTGTCCAAGTAGTTGTCGAGGGCGGGTATGCCTTCTTTCAGGCCTTTACGCTTTCTGATTTCAGCGACAACCTGGGAGGGTTTGCTAGCAGGGTCACTGGGGTCTCCCTGGAGAATCTGCCAGTGGTCAAATACACACTGAGGGAAAGCCTGGCCTCCAGTGTTACTGCGCAGGTCAGCTGTGAACCCTGCAAGAGTCACAAGAATACAATATCAATGCTTTTTGCTTGTCTGTTCACTGATCCATACTATGTATGTTACACATAAGAATTTTAGACCTTTAAAGAAAGCTCATGGTACCATTTTCAATTTGTATAGACGCCGAATACAGACATGATTTCACATATGCAAGATTCATATCTTTTGATTTTTCTCATAATCTCCCATACAGACATTCAATATTTGAGATTCCACCATGAAAAGTTGCCGAACAGAATAAAACGACTCACCAAAGGATTCGTTGACTGGCAGGTATGCTTTCACCACAAACATGGGAGTTCCCATCACTTGGGATTCTTCAAACACGTGCCCACGTTTCCTATTCAAGACGCCGTAGATCCCACCAACCACCTGCTCTGGGCACTGCGAGGGGTAAAGGAGCAACAATGGATACACGCTGATTTTTTTTTTCCTTACACAAAAGATCGCCCAAGAAAATTTCAACCCCGACAAAACAGCCAGCAACGATCGTTTCCGATTTGCTTTCGAGGCCTCCACAAACTGACCTGAATCTCCACAAGGTACACTGGTTCCATGAGTCGTGGCTGGGCCGTGAGCTGACAGGCGTAAAGGACCCTGCGAGCTGTGGGGATAATCTGCCCGCCGCCACGGTGAATGGCGTCTGCGTGCAGAGTCACGTCGTGGATGTCAAAACGTGTCGCGCGCATGTTTTCCTCACATAACGCGCCCTGCAGGTTGGGGACATGGATCATTTTTAAGGAATAAGTCAGCTTTTTCTCTACATTAGATGGTATGCTGGTGATTTCAAATACAAAACCGAAAAAAAAATGTAGTCATTCACCACCCACCTCTTTCGTTGCCCACTGGAAACCGGCCACTACGCTGTCCTTGATTTCATTGAGGTACTGAACTCCTTTTGTCACATCTATCAGCAGGTTGGGCCCGCTCCCATCTGGACCGAAGCACCAGATCTTCCTGGCTTCTGTCACTTCCCACTCATATTTGTCAGCGAGGTAGCGGGCACGGGCCTTGAGCTCCTGCCTAGAGGAGACATCCCCCTTTTCAATATCTTCAGCCAGTCCATCTGGGAATGGACGAGCCTTTAGGAACAGACGGTTGTGCTTGTTGGGGGACTTGGAAAGACACATCTGGTCTGACTCTTCTGACACGGTCTCTCTGTAAGACACCACTGGGTCTGATTTCTAGAAGGATGACAAGACATGGGTCATTTATGAGATTATATGTTCAGCTCAGATTTACGTTATTTGGATGCTTGAAGACTTCATGTACTGTTTATTTTTCTTTGTCCTGAATTTGATTGTTACACACAATTTGAAACTTCATGTATTGTTTTTTTTTCTTTGTCCTGAATTAGATTTTTATACACAATTTGAAACTCTATTTTATCTCCAGTCTCTCTGAGGCCCCATTCCTGAGTGGCTGAGCCTGTTGTAGTTGGTTAGGTTATTTTTTGCCAGAAAATGTGTGTGGTGATGGTAACAGAAAATAAAAAAACTAAACTACTAATGAGCTGGCATCTTAGGAAAGTTCCACTTATTTTTTCATTTATGTGTCCAGCAAGCAAGGACAAGTCCCTATGACACCCTCCCTCCCTCCTCCGTCTACCTTCAGTGGAATGCAGGCATGGTCCTCCTCCAGGTCCTTGAGGCAGATCTCCAGGTGCAGCTCTCCGGCTCCTGCGATGATGTGCTCCCCTGACTCCTCGATGATGCACTGCACCATAGGGTCTGACTTGGCCAGACGTTTCAGGCCCTCCACAAGCTTAGGCAAGTCAGCAGGATTTTTGGCCTCCACGGCAACTCTGACCACGGGGCTGACACTGAACTTCATCACTCTCATGTTGTGGGCCTGCAGATAGAAACACGTGATTATTTTTTGGGGGAGTTCTTGTAACAAGAGGCAAACAACAGGCCGACAATGAAATGGTAAAGCAAAAAAAAAAAAAACTGTCGTCCAATACAGAAGGAAGAAAACCTACTTGTTCAAACGTTGTAATGGTGCCTGTCTTAACCAGGTACTGGTCCACGCCGACAAGACCCACGATGTTGCCACATGGGACATCTTCAATAGGCTCCACATACCGACCCATCATCAGGATAGTCCTGAATGGATGTGGCGGTGAAAAGTTAGCAACCAACACATCAAAGAGGGAAGCAGCATAAAGCTTGCATCCAGTAGGTCTTTTTTTTGCTGTCCTCCTGTTTAAAAAACCTGTGTCGCTGGTGTACAAACCAGGCTCACCTCTGGATGGGTTTTATGTAGAGGTCCTCTTTCTTTCCAGGGGTGAAATTGGGCCCCATGATGCGCACCTTCTGGCCTGTGGACACGCAGCCAGAAAACACGCGGCCAAAGGCGTAGAATCGGCCCTTGTCACTGGTTGGGACCATCTTGGAAATATACATCATCAAAGGAGCCTTGGAGTCACAGCTCTTGATACCTAAAAGGAGTGTTGAGATCAAATAATTTGAATCAAGCAATACTAAAGATACCCATCACTTTTTTATGAAGACATATGTGCTACTGAAAAGGATTCTGTTGGATGATGTCTGGTCTTGAGGTCAGTTGTTGCCTACTGACCCATGGCAGCTTCGTCGTCTCCCGGCCCTTCATACAGCAGCTCACAGCGATACCTCTGAGCAGTGACGGGGGAGGGCAGGTGAATGGTGATCATCTGGAGCAAGGCCTCCCCAGCAGGGAGCCAGCGACGCATCACAGCCTTCAGCAGGGGCTTTCCCTCCTTGTCCTTGTCCTCAGTGTCCAGCTTGACATCCAGCTTTTCGATCAATTTGGCTGTCTCTTCTTTTTTGAAATTCATGATGGCATCAAATACCTGTTGGGGTAAATTTTATATAAAACCTAGCATTAATATTCAAGAGAAATGTAAGGTGCTTATTGTTGAGCTCTGGATTTTCTATTAAACTTTTTAAAGCTCTGCAAATATATCTTCTTTTCTGGAAAGAGCATGGCGCAAAACAACACAGTAACACGAAGAATTCACGTTATTTATGAGAACAATTCAGCCATCATTTTATTGGCCAGTTACTGCAGTGTATTTTCACCTTAAAGATGGGATCCAAAACAAGCTGGGAGAAGGTTCGGGGTAACTTCTGACCATCAGGACCAGTGGCAGTCTTACTGAATTTACCCACACTTGGATCGAAATATCTGGAAAAAAGAAGAGCAGGCATTACACAACATTCCATTAATCATTCATCTTTTGGCTTTAATGTTGATGATTTGACAAGCAAAATTGACTGAAACTGGTGGAACGTCATGCAGCTGTTTTCTGTGATAATCCAAACAAGCCTCTGTAAATGCATTATGCAAATGTGTTTGATGATGGAGATAATGTAATGTAGATCATTTTGTGGGGAAAAAACACCAATAAAATCCCCAGACTGTCATTAAAGCATTTCAGGTCATTTTGGAGCAGTTTATGTGGGAGAGAGTAAGGTGCCATCTACAACCAAAGCAATAATTACAATGATTACAATGTCAGCGTCCTCGCTGTACATGGATAATGGCTTTAGATGACCTACTATAGAGCGGAGAGAGAAAAATGAAGAACCGAGAGAGTGTTGTCTCAAATATAACAAAAATGTGCTACTTTTAATTAAAATTTTTAAAAAGTTTAGCTAAATTTTTTTATGATAGCACTCAAGCTAAAATGATTTTTATAATTTTCGAAGTGTTAACAACAAAGGTCACTGACCTGCCAGAAATGAGTGCTTAGAAGTGGCAAAAACTATATGACCAGTGTAGGAGCAGAAGATGAATCGATTTATTTTGTGTACGGTGTATTGAGCAACGTCTTTCGGTAAACTGGCGGTTATGACTATATGTGGTGGCAGTCTTTTTTTTGGTTTGGGCAGTTTTTGGTCGTAGTTGCTAGTGTGGATGTTCTGAGTATTTGGAAACAAGTTTGAGCTTGATGGACAGCGATGAGTTATAATGGACAGAAATGTCAAATTTGACTCAGACGATAATTCACCAGAAACAGTAACAATCAGAGTTTATTCTATATCATCTTTTTGCAGAAACACAGTGGCTCAAAGCGTTGGCTTGGCCTTTACGAACATCAACTGTATCCTGACTGACTGTCAGTTTTTTACCACTCCCCTCTTTGGTGTGATCCCTCTCTCTATTACATCTCTCTAAGAGCTGTCATTTTTGGTGTGTAAAGCCCTCATGTTCCCTTGGTGTGGACATGAGACTTTGCAACCGTGGAACACCTTTAGCGTGATCAATAATCTGCTCAAAGCACTCACCTTTCTCCCCACAGCTTCTTCATCATGTCCTCGACTTTCTTACACCTCTCTGCAGATCCCATCTGAGAAACTCCTTTAGAGGCGAACTTAGCCACGTACATCTCAGCAAACTGCTTCAAGGTGAAAGCCCAGCCGTGGAGGCCGGAGCCAAAGCCAACCGTTCCGATAACGGGGTCGATCTGAGGGAGAGAACGGGCCATATTCTCATATGCAAAACGCTGCACACAAAATCACCCGTGCTACGGCTTCTCTCAACCATGTGTCTGCACAGGCGTGTGCCTGTGGGCGGTTGTGCGTGCGCCCTACCATGATGTTCCCCATGGGTCCGCCCTCATCTTCTCCGTAGGTGGAGATAATGACGTTGACGTTCTCAACAATGCGTTGAAATGTCTGGAAAAGCTCATCAGGCTCCAGCTGCAGCTCAAGGAGGGCCCGGTCCATCTTGTTCATCATCAGGACGGGTTTTATGCGCTCGGCAATGGCCTGGCGCAGAACGGTCTCGGTCTGCACACACACGCCTGTCGGAGGTAAGGAACCAGGTGAGTCTCTCTGAAAGGCTTTACAAGTGGGTCAAAGATTTAAACTGTTACACTGACCAGAGACACAGTCCACCACCACCAAGGCTCCGTCAGTGACTCTGAGGGCAGCCGTCACCTCAGAGGAAAAGTCCACATGGCCAGGAGAGTCAATCAAGTTGATGAGGAAGCCGTTTCCATCTTTGGTCTGCTTGATGAATGCCAAGTCATTCTCCCCAAGCTCATAATACAAGGAAATGGCCCTGAAACATAGCAAGAGAGGACAGCGAAGAGATGAATTCACAGTATATTTATTTATTTCTGCTGTTTCAGTCAGTAACTGGCGTCTGTACATCTCTAAACCTGATTATTTAATCTTATGTGCCAGACTTTGTTTAAATCCAATGACTTTCCATTTCATTTGCTGAAAAATGGCATGACTGGAATGAGTACAGTAAATGGCCAGCAATGCAAATCAATATGTTGATGGTTTTGGTGCAGTCAGGCTATCCTTGTTCGACCTATCTGACAGGGACATTTAATTTATTCAAAGAAAAACTGGGAATGGGACTTGAATTCTTTAATGTGACAAAAGATATGAATACTTTCTAGGCTAGAGCTAGACACACTTTGTGTCAATAATTTCATGAAACGCTAAATATTAATTAACAAATGTCTTAGAAAGTTGTTGTAGGTGAGTACAGTTCATCACTTTTAAATTGTTTATATTACAATGCTATAACAAAAACACACACACAAAAAAAAAAAACATTATGATAATATTCAATAATGCACCTGCCTAACCTGGGTGCGAAATTATATTCAAATTATTTGGATTTTTTTCAAATTAATACAAAAATAGCAACTGATGACAAATCAACATCTAAAATTGTGCCCAGAAATCATACATTGCCTCATCAAGGAGAACAAGAGAGGGATGACCTGGCTTGTTACTGGCACTCTGCTGATGGATGGGGTGAGTTAGTGCACACAGCAGGGGAAATTTTCAAATGTGTTGGGTTTTCAGCATATATCCTGCCAGGTGATGTCCTTTTCTGGGAAAAAAGGCTAGCTTACTTCAGCAAGACGATACCTAATTGCATTCTGCCTAAGGTTGCTATATAAAAAAAAGAGCTGTTCATAATTTAATGCATTACGGAGGCAAAAAATGTTCCGCAAACAGTTGAGTAATTAAAAATTTTGTAAGGCCAAACGCTCTACTTTAAGAACTAAAGGAAGTGGTCTCCTCATTCCAAAATGCCTGCAGTGTTATTAAAAGAAAATATGATGCAATTCAGTGGTAATCCTGTTTCTGTGTTTGGAAATACACTGCTGACCTGATGTAAGATTTGATTTATTATGCAGATCATTCTGATGTTATTGATATCATGTGGTGTCCAAATCTCTTTATTTTTTTTCGCAAAGAGGTTGCAGTTGAACACTTTAATAATTGACCAGAAATTCAGTAGTTTGTTGTTATAAGGACTTTTTTTATAAGTTGGGCAACATTGTATCTGTGTATCCACCCTGTTTTGTGACCCACATACGTAGATTTGATGGTGATGCAGCGCTCCTGCTCGTCTTTGCGAGTGTCTGTGAAGCGTGTCTCTCCGGCCCGGGACGAGGCGATGATCCCCGCCTTGGACACCAGCGAGTCCGTCAGCGTGGATTTCCCGTGATCCACGTGGGCGATCACAGACATGTTTCTGATGTTGGACTTTTTGTCCATGATGGCACGGATCTGGTCTACTGTGAAGTTCACCTGTTGGGAGTGGGGCACGTTCATTCATTCATCAGCAACCAGCAGCAGAGGTTCACTTTGTTAATCACACGTGTCTATTTATGTCCAGGAACAGATCTGCGCAGCCATCCCCAGGCTGAGTTATAAAAAGAAAGACATGTTTGAAACTGAATCTAGGTGGAAGGAGGGTAGGCACCGCGTAAAGACTCTACCTTATGGCTCATGCAACATGTTCGAAATTTAATGAGTCACCACTCACATTAATTGAACCATTGACTCTGTGGCACAGAATATCTTAAAGTGGGACTTTAAACAGAAACCTTAATATTAAAAAAAGGTCGAACATACTTTTAAAATCCAGACATTGACAAAGGTCTCCTTTAGGGCCTTTTTATTCAGGGAATATAAGATTATTCCACCAAACGGCCTTACACGACAGACCTATTGAAATATTTTGTTTGTGTTTAATATGGACTGGCAGGCCATTCAGGGTGTACTCTGCCTCTCACACATTGAATTCTGGGATAGGCTCCAGTGCCCCCGCGACCCCATTTGGGAATGAGCGATTCAGAAAATGGATGGATGGATGTCTAATATATAAAATATGGGGAGGGGCAGTTTTTAAAGAATTTAAAGCTAGATAAATAGAATTTTTAGGGACATACATATGACATATATATATATACAGATAGATAGATAGATAGATAGATAGATAGATAGATAGATAGATAGA